GGTAGAGATAATACTCCTTTATCTCTATCTCTTTGTCTTTTTTCCGATTTTTCTCTAACTTTAGTAATGATTCAAATGATTTGTCGGATAACAGTATATCCATTATCATTGCATTTATGATTATTTAATAGTTTTTATTTTTATGTCCTATAAATTGTAGTCTATTTTCTACAATTTCACTACAAAACATCTATTTTTATTATATCATACTTCTTATTTATTGTACTTATATTACAAGTAAACCATTAATATACGAAAATACGAATCAACCCATAAATACTAAAAATGCCACAAATTCTGTATAAAATGTTATTTTTATTTTCACTGAAGACTATTTGAATAATTTTAAAACTAATTTTTAAAGTAATCCTTGTATACAACGACAAGGAATTTGCATTTAAGTTACTAAAAGCAGTCAATAAATCTTTAGTTTTAGAAATATACAACTTTTTATGGTATTTACAGTATATAATATCTACAGTATATAATATCTACATTAGAATATAAATTTAATTTCAAAAATAATTATTTCGAAAAATTTGTGCTCAGAATAACAAAAATAAATTGATTTAATTGTTTTGAACATTTCGTGGATTTCTATACAATTTCTTGTTCTTTAGATAATTTCCTAAATTTGGACAAAAATGGGATCTGAAATAGAGATCCAATTTATCTTTTCTTATTATTTTATTTGAGCGTCAAATCAAAAACCAATACTTTGTAAGTCTATAAGTAGTTAAGGCCGGCGTTTGCGAGCAACATATTTATGTATTAAATATATAGCAAAAGCTAATCATTGGTCATATAATGAAAATTACAGCACATCTACTAATAATTTATTTGTGTTCTCCAATAGATCATTAGGTAAGAGATTAATGTTCACTCATTTATCAGAAGTTAGTCCAATGTTGCAAATGTTGGGCTCCTAATAGCCGTGCAATCGTTTTTTATGCCACTATAATGTCTAAATATTGGTCTCATTTTTATTCGCAATTGTCTTCAGTTTTATTCAAATAATTGATTAAATATTTACGAAACGACTGCACCCTATCCCTGCATTTGGTTTATGTTTTCGTGTGAAACTCATCAAAGAGTTGACATTCGAGGGGAACTCATATTATCTGTTCATTCATTTCATCCCAAATACAAATAGAAAACCAATAGTTATCATAAAAATTGTGTCTTTCGATAATCACTGCATTTGTTGCCATACTTCCACACAAATGCCAAATAAACAGCTATTCGTCAATACATGACAACAGACTGTGATTTCTGTCTCCTTTGTCTCAATGACTGAATAATTTGCGGATTAAAAGGATAACTCAAACATCAAAAAGATTTATTGAATTGGAAATTGAAAGCATCGAAAGAATTGCAAACGTTTTCACAAAAATGAGAAAAAGTAATAAATGAGTCAAACATGTAATTCTGCCTGAAATGTAAGTCTAAGGAATGTATTTAAAAGCTAACAATTATTTGCATTTTTGACTCGACTTTCATTTATTTGAAATTCACGTTGAGTTGAGTATATTTGGCGTTAAATCTAATTCTCTTAAGATATACTCGAAGTTAACGCTAATGTAGAGCACGTGAAAAGTGTTAACACAAGTCATGCGACCAAATGTTAGGAAAACATCTAAAAGCTTGAGTCGAGAGTCGCAATGATTTCGCTTTTGGCCATTACTTTCACTAATGCCATACAACTAATACTAATAATGATTTTTCCCTCAAATAAAAATAAATAACTTATTTTTGATAGAAAAGCAAAATAGAGTGAGATTTTTGACTATAGATAGAAAATAAGGAAAATAAAGTCAATCAATAATCGAGTTGAGTGTTTGAGTCCGTAATTATTCCTTTGAAATGATAAATTGAACAAAAAAGCAAAATAATGCACTCATTAGAGTAAAAGGTAGAGATAATACTCCTTTATATCTATCTCTTTGTCTTTTTGCCGATTTTTCTCTAACTTTAGTAATGATTTTTCGGATAACAGTATATCCATTATCATTGCATTTATGATTATTTAATAGTTTTTATTTTTATGTCCTATAAATTGTAATCTATTTTCTACAATTTCACTACAAAACATCTATTTTTATTATATCATACTTCTTATTTATTGTACTTATATTACAAGTAAACCATTAATATATGAAAATACGAATCAACCCATAAATACTAAAAATGCCACAAATTCTGTATAAAATGTTATTTTTATTTTCACTGAAGACTATTTGAATAATTTTTAAACTAATTTTTAAAGTAATCCTTGTATACAACGACAAGGAATTTGCATTTAAGTTACTAAAAGCAGTCAATAAATCTTTAGTTTTAGAAATATACAACTTTTTATGATATTTACAGTATATAATATCTACATTAGAATATAAATTTAATTTCCAAAAACAATTATCTCGAAAAATGTGTGCTCAGAATAATAAAAATAAATTGATTTAATTGTTTTGAACATTTCGTGGATTTCTATACAATTTCTTGTTCTTTAGATAATTTCCAAAATTTGGACAAAAATGAGATCTGAAATAGAGATCCAATTTATTTTTTCTTATTATTTTATTTGAGCGTCAAATCAAAAACCAATACTTTGTAAGTCTATAAGTAGTTAAGACCGGCGTTTGCGAGCAACATATTTATGTATTAAATATATAGCAAAAGCTAATCATTGGTGATATAATGAAAATTACAGCACATCTACTAATAATTTATTTGTGTTCTCCAATAGATCATTAGGTAAGAGATTAATGTTCACTCATTTATCAGAAGTTAGTCCAATGTTGCAAATGTTGGTCTCCTAATAGCCGTGCAATCGTTTTTTATGCCACTATAATGTCTAAATATTGGTCTCATTTTTATTCGCAATTGTCTTCAGTTTTATTCAAATAATTGATTAAATATTTACGAAACGACTGCACCCTCTCACTGACGTTTATTTCCGCTTTTTCTGTAGTTTTTTTCAATGAATTGCGAAAAAGGCTATAAATAGCACTAAATCTCTGGTTTTATTCATTTAAGCTCTGAATTAGAATTTTTGTTGACTCTCGAAAAAAGTTAAAATATGTTTTAATGATTGCGAGAATATATTGAGAATTTCATATAAAAGCCATTAACGAATGCAAATATAAAAGTTTATCGACAAATCAAAAACAGATTATCTATTCATATAAGAAGTACTACTCGTTTGAAATGAATGAAAAATGATATTCAAAGCGAATTTCACAAGAATAATATAATTGTATGTTTTGTCAAATACTATGAAATGCATAGAATATTCTGTGTGTACAGTATATTAAGCTGAAGAAATAAGTTATACTAATCCGCAACACTTTATTGTAATTATTTGAGTATTAGTTGAGGGATGAGAGACGAACTGTTTGTCTAATCCATCTTCACTTCATTCAATTCATGTAATACTTGTGTTTAACTATACCTTTGAATACATAGAGTTTCACCGATTTCTCAATAATAATGGGAAAACAGAGAATTGTGTCGATCTATCAAAACACTACTGTATATACAGAATATATATAATGACATAGAATATACACTATATATTCCGTATATATTTTATATATATGTGTGTGTTTGTGTGTAAATTATGTACAGAATATAATATTTAGTTTAAACTATTTGGTGCCAAAACGTACCATCATTTTATGCTCTCAGTACTCGATTAAACATATATTTTCTTTACTTTTGCATCATTTTTAGATTCATCAGTACTTGTGATGCAATCACTCACTTAATAATGATTTTGTGTTATTTGTAAATATAGTTCAATAGATAGGATAGTAGTCTTAAAAAGAGAGTGAATGTGTGTTAAGATCATAAATCTCACATCTCTTCTCAAAAGAGTCTCAACGATGGCATAAAAGCCAAGTCATGGCCCAAGTCTACAATACTCCACAATAAGCATACAATGCTGTTGTCAACTAATACTGTAGGCCTCCATATATTCCACTTTCCATTCGTGAAGATTATGCTCAGACTTGTCAAAGACTTTTCCTTTTAATACCTCACATATGTCTGTCTTTTATGATATATTATTTTTAACAAAAAGATAGAAATTGTTTTTTTTCTCGATTTCTCAGTCTTATAGTTGTATTAAATTCTGTTTATTAGTTCTGTAGTCATAAAAATTTATGAAATAAGAGACACAAAGTCGAGAGCCATAGAGTGATTACCAAACAAATTATAATACATATTAGCCTTAATTTTGGACAACAATTCTGTAAAACAACTTCTATTACTCACTAATAGTTTTTCCATTTTATTAACTTTTTTTGGGGAAAACTCTAATATAAAAGCTTTTGAATTACGGAATCCATTAAAATATTTGCTGATTCTATGCTATTATCTTTCGCTGTAATTCACACTTTAGGTCTATTTTTTCTTAGATTTATTTTATTTATTAATCTAAATGACGGTAAGAGTAAGTTTGGGTTCAATGCCTTCCCATACACTATATTATCGTCGCTTTAGATTCACTTAAAATAATAGATTCCCCAAAAAAATATTTTATTTAACTTAGTAAAAATGTATTGTTTGAATTAGTAGTTAACAACGTAAGCGATTTTAATGAAAATTAGTGCATTGTATGCAAAATACTCTTTTTTGCGGTCAAAGACTTCAGAGAATTAAATATTTAAGTGAATAAAAACATAAATTTTTCAAAAAAATATTGTACGGCATATGAGTTACTAAAATATTTCTTTAATACGAGTTTATGGCACGTCTGTAACGTATAGGCAATTCTTGTGAACCCTCTGGAGAATGATATGAAACCTCTTGTATTCCAAATATTTCTTCTATTGATTTCGTGATCTTTCTTAAAATGATTTTCTCTATAGTTTTGTTGAGTTTTTCTTCATTTTCCATAAAATACAATAAATTCTAATAACGATTGAATTAATTCTATACATAACTTTGTATTTAATCTCAATTTTCAGTTATAAATTCTTGGCCATAAGCTTCAACACCCATTTCTCTACTCTTGAAAGTGATTACAAAAATATATGGTTTAGAAGTAAACTCTAGGACTGAGTGGAGAATCAGAGCTTGAAAACGATTTGGATGACTACTGATTGGAGTTTAGACTAGACTTATATAACTTATATATAGAGTTGTGTGGAAATGACCTCATCATCCAGTGATACGACCAGCAGTTCAATGACGGGCACATCTCCTCTTGTAAACAAAATGTCCATTTCTATGGTATCTACCGATCCCTCCACTATTAAAAAAGGTCTGCTTTGGCAACAAAGGGACAGATTCTTTAGCCGTTGGAAAGAGAGATATTTTGTGTTAACAAAGGATTACTTGTCGTGCTTTAAGAAGGGCTCTAAAGTGGGAATGTCTGAAATGGGAAGCTTTATGTATAAAGTAAGCATGCTATTATTTTAAAACTCAATCCATGTTCTAATGATTGAATTTCTCGATACAGTTAACTCTTGTAGACGTCGAGGGACTTAATTGGGCCGATAAGAAGAGGGATGGGGTTATTGCTATTCGGGTGAGTCTGAAGACTTACATCCAATTTGTTTTACTCTTACAATTGGCAACAAATCTTATTTCCATATAAATCTCTATAAATGCATTTTTGCACTAAATATAATATAATTGTTTATTTTAATAAATATAATATAATATAATTGTGGTTCAGGTGGGAACTGGAGGACAGTTACTCTTGTGGTCCAACACTGGTTTAGATGAATGGATGTTCGCATTGAGAGAAGCCGTTAATCGGAGTAAAGGCAGAAGAGAGGCATTACGTAAATCTCAGACTTTATTGCCTTCAATGACCGGCGGAGGCATTTGGAACCGGTATGTAGTCTATAGCATAGTGTATAGTCTATAGGCTTTCTTTTATTGTTATTCACGACCATTACGTGAGATTAGAGTTAAACACAAATTTAAATGAAACCAAAATTATGTTTGATTTTCAGGCAAAAGATATCTTCATTGCACTATACATTGGGTGACAGTCCCGTCGGTGTCAGTAATACGACATCACGACTACATAGGGCTACCAGTGCTGACTTCACCAATTGCGAGGATGCAAACCGTCAATTAAGGTCAACCATACATCACAATCCAACTCCAGTTCTGAACCGACGTTTCCAACGAATATCAGGTTTGTGTTGATTACAGAATCGTTTGATTTATCATTTCATTCATTGCCTGAAAATACAAGTGACTGAACACAAGAAATCTATTCCACATTTCAGACACTGTTTTTGACAGATCTATGCGCACAATGAATAAAATTGATTCAAAACTTTTTATTGTTTGGCTTTAGTCTTAACAGACATTGATCTGAGTCTTGAGAGCGCGTCGGGGGAGAGGAGATCACTGGCGCCCAGGGATGAGCAGCCAATAGCCAATCGGGCGGGTCTTCCACGACTGGCCCCTCAATGCGGCGGAAACAACAGTCACGTGAACGCCAACCAAATCGGCAACTCTTCACAGAATAGTTCGTTGCAGTCATTGGTATCGTTGGGACGAACGACCGGACAGTTAGTGAGCCATCAGTTCAATAGACCGAGTCCTCGGTCACTGCAAGTGTCCCCAGCATTAGCCCAGCGCTCACTCTATGCGCAACACATCCTCTCGTCTCCGGAGATCATAGGAGTGAACACAACTGACTCAAGACATCACCAAATGGCCAAATCAGCCCTAAAGAATATCAGGTTTGTGTTGATTACAGAATCGTTTGATTTATCATTTCATTCATTGCCTGAAAATACAAGTGACTGAACACAAGAAATCTATTCCACATTTCAGACACTGTTTTTGACAGATCTATGCTTTCAATGAATAAAATTGATTCAAAACTTTTTATTGTTTGGCTTTAGTCTTAACAGACATTGATCTGAGTCTTGAGAGCGCGTCGGGGGAGAGGAGATCACTGACGCCCAGGGATGAGCAGCCAATACCCAATCGGGCGGGTCTTCCACGACTGGCCCCTCAATGCGGCGGAAACAACAGTCACGTGAATGCCAACCAAATCGGCAACTCTTCACAGAATAGTTCGTTGCAGTCATTGGTATCGTTGGGACGAACGACCGGACAGTTAGTGAGCCATCAGTTCAATAGACCGAGTCCTCGATCACTGCAAGTGTCCCCAGCATTAGCCCAGCGCTCACTCTATGCGCAACACATCCTCTCGTCTCCGGAGATCATAGGAGTGAACACAACTGACTCAAGACATCACCAAATGGCCAAATCAGCCCTAAATTACAATAATCTCTACTATTCTTATAAACATTGATTTTGGTGTCAGAATTGTTGAGGTATTTGTAAAACACGAAACATAAGAAATAAGTATTTTCTCAAAGATTTATATTAAAGATGTTTAGAGAGAGAAGTACACAATATATTAGTGTATTGTTTGTGTAAAAACAGTTAAGTAAACAAATTGTAGAAAAGATTACATAATTTGCTTTTATATAAAAAAGATTTTATGCATTTAATATATTATACTAATAGGTTGTAAGTGTTCATAAATTCAAATTAAAATGTTAGCCAAAAATTGTTTGTTTTATTATTAGATTCTCTTTAATAATTGATATTAAATTCATCCGCACTGTTAGGTTGTGTGAAATGAAGGCAAACACACACTTCGTATTGCATGCGCTAATCAAAGAATTGTATATTAATAGTATAGTAGTAATTTTTTTGAAACATATAATAAATATATGATTAACTAAAACAATAATATTTTCAACATTTAATAATTGTTTAACAGCGTTAATTCATTTGTTCAGCCCAAATCTTTCACTAACTCAACAGTTAGTAGTGACAGCAAACAATTCCTTTGATTGGATTCGCTTTCTATTAATTAGTTTATCATTTGCGGAGACATTGGTTTCATTAATACTTTTCTCTCCACTACTGCTAATAGATTGAAGTCTATTAGTTGTGGCAAATATTGTATCTGATTTTGAAGGCTTATAGTGTCTTATGTGTCGCTTCGGCATTGACTTAGTGTCGCGCATACCTATAGGCATACCNTACTTTTCTCTCCACTACTGCTAATAGATTGAAGTCTATTAGTTGTGGCAAATATTGTATCTGATTTTGAAGGCTTATAGTGTCTTATGTGTCGCTTCGGCATTGACTTAGTGTCGCGCATACCTATAGCGTATGGATACGGATATGGATTTGGTTGAGGAGACGGCAAATAGTGTAAACACATGGGTAAGACACGTGGTGACCACTTCGGTTACCTCCCCAGCGGTCTTGTCCGCATAAGGACATATGCTATTAAATTGTTGGGATACAATCTGCTATTTGTGAACGATTTGTCTGTAAGTGATGGCTGTCCATAAATACTAGAGGGACGGGTAGACTGTTGTATCATTCTCTCCATTGTCTGTTTAGTTGATGCGGATTGCGATCGATTGACACTATTCTGAAAGTGATTTCCAGTCTTTTGTAGATCCGATTGTGGATCCGATTTGTGGTGTTGTTGTGGTTCGAGACAACTCTGCGACCGAACATATTGTGGTCTCTTTTGGTTCACTCCATTCGACACACGATTATTGTGGGGAAGAGTGAGCGGAGAGTCGGGTCTAATGAATGAGAACTCAGAGGTGGCCGTCTTTAGGGCTGATTTGGCCATTTGGTGATGTCTTGAGTCAGTTGTGTTCACTCCTATGATCTCCGGAGACGAGAGGATGTGTTGCGCATAGAGTGAGCGCTGGGCTAATGCTGGGGACACTTGCAGTGACCGAGGACTCGGTCTATTGAACTGATGGCTCACTAACTGTCCGGTCGTTCGTCCCAACGATACCAATGACTGCAACGAACTATTCTGTGAAGAGTTGCCGATTTGGTTGGCGTTCACGTGACTGTTGTTTCCGCCGCATTGAGGGGCCAGTCGTGGAAGACCCGCCCGATTGG